TGGGGCCAAATGCCTAAAATTTCAGTGAGGGATATCACTGGGCAGGCTGCACAGACCCTGGGCTATCCGTCACTCTGAGGTAGGCAAGTACCATGCTGGTAACCCCAGGATCCCAGAAACTGAATACAGATCTCTTTTCTCAGAGTCTCCTGTTCTCTCTGCACTAGAAAGTTGCTTCTCCTGACTCCCCTCCAAGCTCTGGATTTTCCTTCTGCACACTGGAGGGCAATCAGGCAAAGTGGTGGCTGCTTGTACATGGTGGCTCAAGGACAATCTCCTCTTTGCTTATATACAGACTTTCCAGGTTATCATATCCATTGTGTAATAAAAGCTCCATTACAGAATAATGAGTACTAAACGAAAAAAAAAAATTAAGTTGAAATACTCTTTTTTATTATTTTAACTCTGCTTTTCTTTGTTTTGGGTCCCTTTGGAACAACACCGCTTCTGACAATATCCCATCTAACTACAGGAGGTGGAGAATTACTCTGAGTTTACTCCTACAGAAGATATACCTTAAAATCATTCAATCATAAATTATTTTTATGACTGCAGAATTTATCTACAATGTTTGCAAGCAGAATATGTGACAGCCAGAAACACATATGAAAAACTATGCCTGATTTTCACTCTCAAATGGTAGATGCCTGCTGTGTCACCTTCATGTACATGCAGTTGATTGACAAACAAAATGGAGGAAAATATATGAATATATGCTGTGAGCATGCACCTTTTTGTGCTTTGAGCTTAGATGTCTAACTTCTAGAAAATTAGGTGATGCCTGTCTGGTTTTTGAGCTATTATCCTCTTAGGCAAATATACAATATTGGTTGGGGGAAAAAAATGAAAGAAAAGGAACATTACAAGCTTTATCCAGCTCCTATTAAAATTATTCAAGCCATTGGCTTCATTTGAAGCTGGATGGAGCTCTGTAGAAATATTTTCAAACTACATGGCATATTATTTCAGAAGTAGCTACATTCTTCTGTTCTTGCAAGTGTTTGTTGTAATGTCTGATAAATTTCACATGAAGATGCTGGAGATTTATGAGTTGCCATTGTTGTTTTTGTCTGTGCTCTCCTAAGGCCACAACCTGTAGAGCTCACTTGTCCAACATTTTCGCAGTGTACATTTCTGAAATCCTGCATGTTAAAAATACTACATCATAACAAAACCTCTGAAATAACACCAGGAGACATTGCTCTTGCCTAACATCAGAGAATCACGTGTTCTAATTCTGCTTAAGGAAACCTAATCATATTCAGCATATGAGAAAAAGAGCTGCATGCAGTTTGAGATGACATGATCATTTGCATTGGAGGTAAAAATGAAGGGCCATTAATTTTATAGCATTAAATGAAGAGAAGTGTTAGACCTCTATAATTAGCTTCAATGAACACATTTCAAAGACATCTTCACAAATGAATGTAGGAAATGTGTATCTATATATACTGTTGAGAGAAAATTATTATATTTAGTCCAACCTCATATACCGCATCGTTGCAAATGTAAATATATATGCCTTGGCATATTTCTAGCTCTTTAAAATTGATTTAACTACTCTGCCCTATTAGTGGACATAATTCCAAAATAGTAATATAAAGGTTTCATTGTAACTGTTGATCTCCAGTCATCTGCGGTTCTCTGAATACAAGCAGCGCATTTAAAACCCGTGTGAATTCGTCAGTACCTGCCACATTGTCCAGCTCTATAACAGCTTATCAGACAGCCACTTTAAATGTACTTAAACCACTTTATACTAAAATAATTCGCTTGTTTTTAGTTTCGGGGGGGGGTTATTATTATTTCAAGGATTTTTTGCACTGGGAGAGATTTACTGCAATTGGAATCAGTCATTGCAATGCTGTAATCTAGTTTTGTGGAGAGGTGCTCCACAAAAACCAAGAGAAGTAATCAAATATAAAAGAAATAGGAAATAGTCTCCATTTTAAAAATAACTAAAGAAATCTGATCTAACTTATCAGATCTAACTCAGAGGAAGGGCAACACCAGTTCTTCATGGAAGGTGTCAGTGGTCTATAGGAAGTCAACAAAATATGGAAAACCAATAAGACCAAGAGCTTGAAACAGAGACAAGAAAAGTCCCGTAACCATGGGAGCCCAGGGCTGCCTTGATTGACCAAATAAAAGTTCATTTCACCTGCTGCACTTTCTCTGATGTGATGACCTTTACAAACGTGTTGCTACAAAGACAATTTCTATTGGATTAAACCTTCCAAAATATTTGCTTCCATTATTTTAGATAACTCTAATAACGGCAGAAATTCTTGATATCCACAGAAATATCAATCCTTTTAAAAGTACTTTCCTCAGAGGTTTTCTTACTTACATTGCCACCCCTACTTAAGCTGAATATTTCTTTCTTCTCACATAGAGCACAAATGCTCTTCACCTCCCTTCAGTAAACCAGTAACTGACTCCTACATTGCTACCTTGCCTCTTCTTAGTTACCTTTCTCAGTTAAGGAAACCCAGGCCTTCTGAGCACCCTTACTATCACAATGTTTCAATGATCTTGTATATCAACTAATAAATTTGGCTGATGTTTTCCAGTTTGTATTAGCCAGCCAAGCGCCCTCAAAAATCCAGTTTTTAGGACACATTGAAAATCCCTGCCTCAATGTAGACCATGGAGATGTCACTGAGGGTTCTTCTGCCATGTATTATACAGTCAAGGCAGTCCTTTAGAAGGACACTTTCTGTGCACCCATTGACTGACCTTTTTCCATCATATCAAACCTTCCTCTCCTCCCCAGTCTCCTCCTCAAAGACAGTGATGTCAAACTTACCTCTGCCAGAGCTGCCTGCCTCAAACAATGTTTTAAAGTAAACAACTAGGCTATTTCCTGCCATTCAGCCCCAGACGCTGCTAGGATGAAGCCCTCTTAAATATCTGCTCTGCACCTGGACTTCTTTCCTTGATCTCCTTCTCTCTCTCCTTCACCGTGATTCCTACTTGCTGAAGGTCATGCTGCAAGCATCTGTGAAGAGCCATGCTGGCCAGATGTTACAGTACAGAGCAAGGAGCTGAAGCCTTTCCGTTAACACTACCCTTTGTTTTGTAAATGCCCATCTCATATTGCAGCTGGGGCCATGATGCTCCATAGTCTGCCAGTCTCTCTAGTTCAGATCAGAGCTGGGTCTGCTCTGGGTAGCAGTTCTCTCATATTTCCTTATCTGCCTGTCCTTACTAACCATCTGTCACTATCATCCATGAAACAAACAACCAAGTTCCTAGCTTCTATATCAAAGCTGAACATTCATTTAAATCAGTAGAATCACACTAGGGACAAATTTGGTCCAGCATCTAACTGGACTATAAAGAACTTTCCCTCAGAAGTTCCCTAGGGCTAATTCAAGCAGCACTGTAAAAATAATACGAAAACATTAGTATGAGGGAGAATATGGAGACAGAGGAATAGGAAATCTGGGCTCTTCTCGTAGTTTGACCACTAACAAAACATGTGACTTTGGACTTTCATCTCTTTTTCCCCTTCCACTTTATCTGCTTTCTATATTTAGGCTGTAGGCTTGCTGTGACAAAGATTTGTTCTTACTATGTGTTTGTACAGCACTTAGCACAACAGGGCACCAATGACCACTAGAATTAATGAAGAACCCCTAAAAGCAGTAGATCTAATCCTCAGAATGCCTCTCATGGACCTTTTGATGGTCCTTCTGATTTGTGGGCTGAAAAGCAGGTATGACAAAGGAAAATGAGAAAGAGATAGCTAGGCCTACACAACAAATTAGAGACTGACAAACTGTGTGTGTAAGAGGTAGGGTCACTTGGCTGGATGGCCAATAGGCTGGGAGGCCCATGGGACACAGCCCATGCGGCACCTCTGCCTGGGGTCTGTTTCCACCTCCCTGGAGGAAACAGAGGACAGCTGTTGGAGCAGCGAATGCTCGCCAGGGGTCAAGCACACCACAGCCTACAGGTGGCGGAGAGGACGGGCCACCAGTGGGCGAGCAAATGTCTGCACATCTGCAGCAGAAGCTGCTGCTGTGCTGTCTGTGCGGGCAGGAGCGGGGCAGAGCTAGTCCACGCAGGTGAGCTCACTCTGCAGTTTCTTGCTCCTGCTAAAAATATGAGACAACAGGCATTCTCGGCTAGCAGCCAAATCCCCATCTCTGCATGCATATAAGTGCCTCCAAACTGGCAGGACCATCATGGGCTAAATCAGACTTTAAAACCAAATTGCAGACAGTCTTCTAAAGGGAAGAGAACATTCAAGACAAAGAAGGACAAGATTAATACTAGGTAAAACGTAAACACCTAAATAGATAAAAAACAACAAATTGATCTAAGAGGATAAAATATAGTGATAGGTGAAATGAAACATACGAATGAACAAACAATAGTCAATACAACCTGCATATTTGGGGCACCCAGAGAGAAGGTAGTCAGGCTCTGGGACTCTAAATATTCTGGCTCTAGCAAAATCTCATTTTCTGCGGGGCATATTTAACCACATGCAGAAAATCTTGTGAGATGAAGGCAGACAAGACAAGGAAAAGGGACAGGATGGGTCTATTGATCTGCATAACCTTTTATTTTGAGGGAAACAAAATCCAGGAAGATTCCAATTTGCAACTGAAAGAGCAAAAACCTTAAACAGAAAAAATAGAGCGCCAATGTGTACTGATCCACCAGCTACATTAAGGAAAGCAAATATTATTGAACTAGCAATGTGTGACATTATAGCATTTTTATACAGGCTATCTGATAAAACAAAAGTACATTAAAGAAGAAAAAAAAGGAAGACACCACAACAAAGCACTGAGCTAAGCAACCTGAGACAATGAGAGTATCTTGGGGATAGTTAACCAATTTAAAATTAGCCATGCATATTTCTCTACCTAGAGATAAACCAATGAGCTCCAAATAGTCTGACCTGGTAAAAACAGGATGAAGGAAAACAACAGAGAAATAATTTTTCAATGTGGTCTCAACAAAGCACCGTAAAATCATCATACCTGAATAATAGGTCTTCCTGAAAGCAGCCCAGCAGCCCTGTCTCTGCATCACTCAGCACTGCCTTAGTACTTCACTTCATGTGAGGCAATTACTAGAGGCTTTATTTTGCACGGACTAGCTTCTGTTAAGCACCTAGAAAAAAGATAGACTTGCAGTTTTATCTGCTTTTCCATAGCACTCCAGATCACAAAGATTTCTCAGTATCCAGAGGTTCTTTCTTCTGTCTACTCAGAAATGATTAGCTCTATATATACTTTTTCTCCTCCCCAAATTTTGTATAGACTGCTGGTCAGGGAAGGTGAGGATTCTGTGGTGGTAGTAGAGCTATGATAGGTAGAGATGCTTAGATATTTGAAGACATTTTTGTAAGAAATACTTTATTGCTAGGGTGGCTTTTATGTTTTCGTTTTATAGCAGAAATTCCAGGTGCATCTATGTGGATATACTGAGCTCCTGAGCATGTTTTTTTTCATTTTCAGATATGCTATATTTGTGCCCAGACCATATGGCTCTTTCTCTTTGTTAAGCCGAACCACATGGCAAGATTTCTCTAGTTCTGCCACAAATGCTGGGTCTTGTTGACATGTGTGGTGCCATACTAAAGCCCAGCTAATCAACAGTCTCTACGAAGATGAAGGAAAGTGACTCTCCAACTATTATGCTTTACCAGTTTTCCTAATGCTTCAAGAAATTCATTCAGAGGAGTTTCTGACTACGTGAAGAGATCCTACCAACTGACTTTTTATTATATTTGTTCTGTATTTCTAATAATATACCTCAGGGGTTTTGGAGATATTGGCTATGCGGAATCCCCAGGAGGGAAGGTTTCCCAGCTCATCCTCACATGCTAGTTCAGTGAGATGGAATGAGGAGCTGCCGTTTCATGTCAAAGATTCGGTGCATCCCTTTGCATTTGTCGGCTCTGCTTTAAATAGGTAGCTGAGAAGAAAATACTTCTCCATAAAGGTGAAGCTAGAAGCAAACAGAACAAAGAAGACTTCAGTTTGGTCTTGAATCTAGTTCATCTCTACAGCTGGGCAAGGCTGCAAAAGAAGGGAGGCTGGTGGAAGGAAAGAAGAAAGGAAGGAAGGCAGGCAGGCAGGCAGGCTGGTCAAATAAGCTTTTACATGAGCACTGCATGTTTAGGTGATGCTCCTGTTCAGGACCTGAGTCCTAGCTACTTTTTGCACCCCCATGGCACAGCGTGGACTGCCAGGGTGTCTATTCTTTACTGCTCACTCTGTATGCTCAGAGATTCAGAGCTCAAGCTGTGAAATTAAACTAGGAACTTAAAGGTGTGGACAGAAGGTAAGCTAAGACACTTTCTAGCATTTGAGTGTGGGCTGATCTGTCAGTACAGAAACAACCAGTACTATTTACATCTCATCCAGGGAAAGGATTACTGCAAGATATATTGATGCCTGGCAGTAATACTGGCTTATGTCTGTTGAGATTATTTCCCAGGCATTTGGCCACACCAGGGTTGCTGGAACACATCCCTCTTCAGGCAGGCACCTGCTGCTCCTCATGGGGGTGGTGGTGGCATGCCCCTGGTCACCCAGCTCCTCTTGATGCTTTTCTAGCTTTCAGGTGGGGCCCCATTTATCTGACTGCTCAGTGTTTGGGGGCTTTGGACAGCTGAATGATGTCAGAAATGTGTCTGTAAATGCTTGAAGTGAAGGGTCACGTCACTGAGATTAATGAGGTTTTACAGGTGTGTTTTATTCTGTTTTTTGTTTTAGGGTTTTTTTTTCTGGACTTGCTTGGAAGCCCCTTGAAGTAAGTCGAGCTGATATATGCTTGGATGTATTGCTTTTAAATCTGGGGCTCATTTTCTCAATATGTGCTATATTCTCAATATGTGGATGTTATTTTTAAGTATGCAGTTCATGCGCCTGCACAGAACTGTGTGCAAAATCTGCATTAAGGTCTGGACATGATATACTTAATAGTCTCTCTTGAAGATTTTCTCTCTAACGGCTTCTAATTTCTTTGGTTTATTGTTCACTGTATGCATGTGGAGAAGTGTATGTCTGGATGATCTGGAGTTTTTGACTTATCAATTATGTAACGATTTATTTACTTAGAATTGGAATTATAAAATATGCTAATAGTTCATATCCTCATTATTACAGAAAGTCACCGTTATTGAGGAAGGAAGATAAAAGAAATCCCTCTCCCACAACCCTATCTAAGGATACCTCCCTACGTCCCAGTCAGCTTTGTCTGTTAATCCTTTCCCCCATCATTCCTAGGAATGCATAACTTAAGGCACATTTACTGATAACTTTAAATTATGATACAATTTTTGTGGCTATTTTCTTTAAACTGGCAGATTCTAATCTTTCATCCCTGAAATGGCAGCCAACACTCTGCTCCTTCCTGATACATGATTTCTTTTATCATTTTATTTTGAAATACATATAATAAGTTATGCCTTTTTTCTATTTCTCCAAATAAATTGCATTTAGGTTTCACACTCCCAGGGTTTTACTCCTATTTCTGAGTGGGAAAAAATGGGTCATTACAAGAACATAATCTCTTTGATTATTTGTGAGAACTAGAACTGGAGTATGATTTTGGATAGAGATGTGGGACTTGGTATTAGTCATTCCAGAAGAGGGCATTTTAAATAGACTGACACCAGTCCTTGTTGTTGCTTTTAACCTGCAGAGATATATTAGCCATGTTTTAGTATTACATGCCATTCCAGTCAGACATGCCCAATCTGCCAGTAAATTCAGCATTATTTCTATGCATGATTTAGATGGCTGCATTGTTCATTGACTGCTCAGGACCAGGAGCCAGGCAAAGCTCTCTCTGCTCACTCTCTCAGCACCAGTTGGTCACAGCTATGCAACACAAACACTGCCGTCAGTCATTCAGCCAGGTGCTTTTGGAGCCTTTTAAAGATACAGGTTACCATGCTTCCTTCTTCCAGTTAGACATAACATCAATAACAATTAACAATCATATTGATATATTTAAAATTCATACTATCGATGTATTAACTAACCTAACTAGAGATGCTAGCCATTGGATAGTGGTAAACCTGTTGGTTCTTTCCAAACCATACTCTTATTCTCACTGTTCCAGGCAAGAATGACTGAAGTTTGTGTGACACCTTTCTTTGACAAAATGTTTGATTTTGTATCCCTTACCTGTGCGGCTTCCGGGATTGGAAGAAGAGGTTAGCTACACTCTGTAGTTTGTGCCTGTTTTAAGGGACACCCTCACATATCACCTGGCACTGATACCATCTTCAGCCAAATTCTCAAAACAGTGCCATTTTTGTCAAACGGACACAGTTTCTTTGATCCCAAATCATCATTTGTTTGTTTTCTCGCTTCCATCTTTTTGTGCATCTGCAGTCTCCAGCGGAGCTGGTATTAACTTCTAGCAACACAAACATTCTGATTTTTCAGGTTTTGGCTGACCAAAAGGGCAGCAAGGTACAACTCACACACACTTCTTTGATAATGTTCTGTAATAGAAACACTAAATAACTGTAATACTAAATGTAAGTGTTTTAATATTTTGGTACTGTTTTCCACCAAACCAGATGAAAAGTAGTAAGAACTAGTGATTACCGTGCCCAAAGAAGAGCTTACTTGCTTGAAAGTCCTGCTCTTCAAACCTAAGCCGCCTTTGTCAGGCACTGCAATGTCAAAGTTTCTACGTCTAGTAATAATAGTTGTGATATGCATGATCACATCTTTAGTTATATTGTCTTTTATGGTGGAGACAATCATCTGTGACAAGTCTATGTTATTTAGCTTTTTCCAAGAGACATAAACACATCTACAGGAACTCCACTTTTCATCTACCACTAGTCTGGCCTCATTTCCAACTGCATTTCTGGCATTTGCAGTCCCCATTTCATTCGAAGTTTTTTTTTTTTTTAAAGCTGATTGATACATATATAACATCTTTCCCTGGATTTTTGTTCTACTGCTATTGTCAATGCTCTGCCAAGTGCTTTTGCAATAGCTAGATCTCTCCTAGGATTACAGTCAAACAGTCGATCATAAATCTTCAGATAAAATGAAATCCCTTTAGTCTTGGATAACATTTGCCAAGCCCATTTTGGTCATCCTGATAAATGTTATGTGGCCAGTCTCTGCTGACATTGGCCTCTCAGAAATAAAGTTCTGAAACCTTTTACATGCACGGACTAAGCTCCCTTGTCCACGTAAGCGAACTGACTTCCAGTTTTTATTGATACCTATAGCATGTATGTTACAACTCTCCAGAAATGACCTTACAGAGGTGTGAGGACCATATCATCATCCTCTTTGGAAGCATCTGTGAATAAGATAGGTTTAAGCTCAGGGTGGGACCTTGATAATTACCTCAGTTTTGCAAACTTTTGTTAAGGTTTGCATTTATGCCTCTGACATTCTTGGTCAGTAGCTCTCTCAGGATGCTTTTCTAAGCAGACAGTTTAAGCCCAAATGCCCAAATATATGTCAGTATTTCCAGGAATCTTTATATTCTCTCTGTCAATGTAGAGGCACTAGTGATGGCTTTAACCTTACCAGGACTTATATACCTTGCTATATGATATGTCTCCTTGTATATAACTTAATTTACAAAGATTTTACTTATGTTTATCTAACTTCCGCTCAGCAGCTCTTTCCTAAGTAACCTCTGCTCATGCTCTTCTATTCTTTTCCTCTAGATCAAAGAATGTTTTTATATAGCCTCTCATAACTTCTGTACAATAAAAAATGCACTGTAGTATTTCCTGTGAAATATATATGAATTATAATGTGAGGACAGTATATTGTAGGAACATGCCAAATATTGCTGGCACTTAAAATGTAGGAAATTATTTTCCATTGAATTTCTCTCTTCCAGTAAGGAGAAGAAAATGACCAGTTATTCCCACATGAATTTAATTCTTTATTGTATATATAACCAAAATATTCTGCCATTTTATTGTACAATGACCAGTTACCATTTCTGTTCTGAGGGATCTTCCAGTCACTTTAGGATTCCAGAGCAATGAATCTCTCAGATATTTCCGTGTCTGTCCTGGGTGAAAGGAGTTTCACCACAGGCCTGAAGCATGAGATAGATGGGTTCCTTCCATCTTATTCAACATGCAATAGAAAGCTTCCTTTTCCCTGAGGAGCATTCCTCTGCTTCCTCTTTCTCAATGGTTGTGCCTCTCCAGAAAGTACAAACTTTAAATGACACCAAAGGAGTGACACATTTTCCCATAAAACCAAATCCTTTTCTCCAAGATAAAGGTGTCAGTTGCCTTATCCCCATATTTCCTTCTCAGGGAAAAGATCACCCTCTAAATCTTCAGTTTTATTAATCATCTTTGCTGCCTATACTTTTCTTTCTATGCTTACATGAGAGTTTCTAGCACCATGGGCA